CCGGACATTATGCGACGTCGTTGTATGACTATTTTGAGCACTCCTTTTATTCGGTTCACAATAAGCCATTGACGTTGAAATTCAGCAAGTAAAAATACGAGAGGAGTGCTAAAAACGGTAGAATTATAGACGAGAAAGGCAAAGAGCAAAAAGTCCGGAGAGTCAACGAAAGGAAGACAAAAGATCGCGAATTGTGAAAAAGGGCGAAGGAAGGGGAAAAGGGAGTGAGGTGAGGAAAGAAAGAGACCGGCCGCGCACCGGGGTGGCATACTACGAAGGATATATTCACGGTGTTCGCCCTTTTGTTCTCGTAATCACCATTTGTGCGCTCTCAGATGCAGCGCATTCGTTCAGCGGCAGATGTGCGCGCGGCTGTTGCATCTCGCTGCATCGCGAATCGAACCGGTTTGTGCGGTTTTCTTTAATTTCAGCTTATCACGGTAGTACGGACGCGTGTGCGGAAAAACATCGCTATCGCACGAATCCTCGGCGCGATCGAAAGCGTTTTTAGCGCATGTATTATATATCACATAAATCGCCCGGGAAAGTTTTATTCGCGAAACTCGGCGTGGTAGAATTATTTATGCGAACGCGATATCTTTACGGCGCGGTAACGTAGGATGCGGTTGTACGATCTTATCTCAACGTTGTGCAATGTTGCAAAACGTATTCCCGGCAGAGAAAAGTTCGATTTTTACACAAATGTAATAAAATACGCAAATATGAATAAAGAAAACAGAGCGCAAGAGTCTATAGGAAAGAAAAAAGCGGCAGTTCATTCTCCGTGATTATTATCGAGATTATTGTAAAATGTATTTACTGTTACTGATCTAAACATTGACTTTTTGAGACGCTAAATTTCAACAAACGAAATTGATACGATACAGTGCGTACCGCTCCTGTAAACTCGTCGTATTTATCATTCGAACATGACTTACTTCCGTCAACGACGGAGACGAATGCAGTGTCTCCTATGCATTTCAACGTGTTTACCAGAGAAATGTACCGTCTGAAAGAGAAGAACCTCTAAAGGAATAACTATGTTGGTCGTTACATAAAATTATTTGCGACTGAATGTTATATAAATTTATTTATTCCGTTATTACAATATTGTTATGCAAGAGAAAAATCTTTATCATAATTTATTAATTTTCTCTATACGAAATTTCTCTTAACAATATGTCCGTTTTTACATATGTCTATATATTTTGACCACATTTAATGCAAATAAAATTTATTAATTAATTAGTTAAATCTAATTTGAAATCTATTCAAATTTTTTTAAGAAAAATTCAAATACATAAATTACTTAAAAATTGAAGATCCTTTATTAATCCTTTTTATAAATTTTATAACATAACACAAATATACAATAATAAGAATTTATAATTCTATAATGAGAAATTTTCCCTTCTTATTTTTTTATTAAAAAAATATGTAACAATTTTTGCATAAAATAGTGATATACTCAATAAATGTATTTCCAATTAATGTATTTTAACTCTGTATTTTAACAACCAATTTACATTTGGTAGATATGTTTATTTCTCTTTTCTCTATACTTGAAACTTATATTTTTACAATACTCGTATAATATAAATACAACATAAATTTAACATAATATCTACAATATAATACAACTTATATTTTATACATAGTAATTACATTTTACATACATTAATTGTACATTAATCATATCTCCTTTACAATCTTCGCATAGATAAATGAGGAAGAGAAGGCTCTGCGTAAACGACACACAATCATAAAATGTATTCATTCCGATTCGATCACACATTACAGGTAGGACACTGCTCTACTTTTCATTGTGCTGCAAGAGCTCACGCGGTCAAAGTCGCGCTGCAAATAACACTACACTGCTGTTATCCTCATTTTCACCAGACACTCTATAACGGCAACAACAGACAAGCCGCTGCTCGCAACAATCTCATTACTTCGCCGTATTAAAACAAAGCGACGCACGCGAGGAATAGAACTTCCAAGAGCACCGGCGATGCCCCAAGGGTTTCCTGCCACGTTTCAGGCTTCTCGCGAGCTACGAAACATCAACATCCGTAGCCCCGGAGCCACCAAGAGCCACGATATCTTCAGCGGGAAGGAAAGTCAGTTTATTTATTTCCGGCATATATAGAAGAGGTACAGCGCTGCAGCCGCTGCTGCTTTCTTCGAACCAAAGTTGCTTTTATTCTCGGGAGCTTCCTCATGTAATCGCAGGTATAAATATTTGGTATGTGCACAGTTGCTTTTCGTACGAAGGAAACCTCGCGTTATCTTGTGAGTAACCTTGAATGTCGACACCTCGGAAACGCGCCATTAATTCTTGTCGGTCCCACGAGTTCATTAACAAAATTCTCAAATTTCTCGAACAGTCGACTACGAATTACAAACGCGATTACTAACTACACGTTATAACTACACTTACATTTTTTATATTTTTGAAATGACCGCGAGTTTCTGTTCCGAAGATATTACACGAATAACGATTTCTGTGATAGGATTGTTGCATTTTACACATGAATTTTATGCCTCGTTACAGAACTTTCGTTTCTTTTGTTGAAATATTTGTTTCTTGCAGTTAATAGCCCATATAGAGAATTTTACGTAAGATAATATAATTTGTAGAATATTACAAGTTTTTTTTACGACAGACAGCTTAGTTTTTTTTATGAATGTTCATTAATATTTATGGGAGTTTATAGCTGTATCTTGTGAAAAATAGTTTCTATCTCTTGAAAAATTCAAAGACAAAAATTTGTCAATCTAATATTTATTACGTGGTACGTGAGGAAGTTTGATTAGATCGATCGATTGAATTCTGCATTTAGACAATGCTACTATTGGAGTTATCTCTATAATTCACGTGCGATATGATCTTTAATAAGACTCGTTTGCTTGCTCCCTGCCCGACTTTTTTCCATTCAATCTGCGTGAGATATGAATTCAATCATGAAAACTTAAACGATGCATCCTTCTTCTAGCCAACGTTACCTATCTCGCCATTGTTCCGTTCTGCCCATATCCACCTATTTACCGTTCTCTGATGGTCAGTGGAGTACGGCCGATCCAGAGAGAAAGAGCGCCTGGAGGCTACCGAATTACAATGGCAAAAGATCGGCCTTTCTCTGCGCCGCCTCGTACACAAGAACGCGGAAGTCGGCGCAGGTGTGTACATTTGCATAGGCTTTGTGGGATAGTTATGCATTATGAGCATACGCGCAATTTTGCATGAAAACCCAGCAGGAAAGTGAGCCGACTTTATTATTCCTAGACCGACCAATCTCGTGATGATTGTCGACGTTTAATTGAATACTTTAAATTAATTCTTGAATGCGTCATCAGTCTATTCACGTATTCTTATATTTACGAGCGATTAGATACTTCTGCAACTGTATGACTATTTTTTTTATATATTTAAGATTTAATTAATAGAAATATAATTTAATTTTTAATTACTTTACTTGTACACTAATATTCCTGTTGTAATAATAATTCTAATTTTAACAAAGCGTAATTGATATTAATTATGTATGTATTTTGATCCGTAAAAAATGGCTTATATTGGTACCATAAAATATATCTAAATATCTAAATATTGTAGATTTTATAACACCATCAAAATCATTATTTAATTCAGTAATCATTGAACATGATTACAAAATAATTAATTGACAATATTAAGGATTTATAATATAATTAATCAGTGAGTAAAATAATAATTCGATTATTTTTATTAAGAACGTAAATCACAAATTCATTTGACAAACTTTCTTTTCTTTTTATAAAGTTATTTTCTCTTTCTTCAAATAATATTCCGATCGATCTTAAGTTATCTCTTCGCAGAGAGTAACTGAATCAATCCTTTTTGAAATTATTTCTCATGTCAGTTTTTGTAGATCTTTGTTAGGAGATCGTTTGTCGCAGAGCATAAAAATCGACGAATCCGATCGCGAATGTAGACAAATGTGAGTTACGATAACATAGTTTCGGCCGTACTGAAGTATTGAAGACGAGAATAAAACATCGGCAAGTATCCGATTGAAGAGAGTTGGAATCGTATAGCAGACGCATATCTTGCGGGTTGAAATTTTAGTTTCCGCGATACGGGCATTTATTTCGATTCGCCGCTAGGAACGAAGGGCACGGCAAATATGCGCGCGCATCCTGCATGAATATTTACATCCAGATGGTGTACATAAATAGTACTCAACGAAAAAATGGGTTAGACCCGGGATACACCCACCCGCGCCGTAGATATCCGCCGGAAGCGGTCACAAATTCTCCGAGTCTCGCGGCACAACCGCATTGCGCATAACTTTCGTGAATGTCCTCCTCTCTTTCGTGCTCCTGCGCTTTCTCTCTTCCTCGCTCTTTCAGCCTGCAGCTGTACTCTGAATTGTATATATGAATTATTTTCATTATGGTTGATACCTCTAAAATTAAAAGCTGGCGATGCATCATCATAATATAAGCAACAACAACAATAATAATAATAATAATAATAGAGATATATAGCATAATACATAGCATAATTACCCATAGGACGGATATTATAGTTTTATTTCTTTTTTCCAAATTTAATATTGATAAAATTCATACCATTTTTTTTTAACTCTCCGTTTGCACTGGGTTTTTTTAGCACAAGGGAAATTTCACTCTCTCAAATTTTTCCGAAATAAAGAGAAATCCGGTTTCATCTCCTAAAATATCTTATTAAAAATTTGGTAACGTTATAGAGAGAAGGAAATGTTGACAGATAATGCTAAATTCTTCTTGAATATTTTTTGAAAACCTAGACTTGTAAAAAGCAGATTGCAAATGAAAGAAGTTAATATTATAGGATAAATGATTAATTACGATTACATTTATTGACTATAATATTTCATACATTACAATATTATTTTAATATTAGTATATTAATGATAGTTATATAAAGATGTCTTCAACTTAAGACCGTAAAAACGTCAAGACGATTTTTGAAGTTTCTGTGTGACAGTTACGTCAAACTTATTTTAAGTTCTTGTTAATGGCGCGAACGGTATTCTTTTGTGGAACTGTTTCTCTAAAAGAATAAAATCACAATAGTATCATTCTCTGCTCAACATCTGTAGTTCGATAAATAACACACTTAACATCCTCAAAGGATAATAAATCCAAAAATGTCGCGCTTGAATATCAAAAAAACACAACGCTGGTTTCAAATAAGTATGACGAATCTTTCACTTTTCCAAAATTTCAACGACAATTTATGACAAATAACATCTACTTTATTGTCGCATTTATGACGAATGGCGGATTACACGTATGCATGAATGAAATATCGCTTTTATCGGGCCAATCGTCGTCATAGCCCCCCATTTGCCATTTTGGGGTCACGTACTACCCTATTCGCTGGTGCGCGTTTTAGCATTTATGTTCTTGCTATATTTTACACATATCCGGTGCTCTAATCTCTCTGCACTCTAATCTCTTTAATCTCCCTACGTGTACTCATACATTCTACTTTTGGTACATAACGATAAATTGGATTTCCAAATATGGTCCATGGGGTGTTTTTAATTCTAGATAATCAAAACTAACACGTGATTATTCTCATGTAAAACTCATGAATTAACATACAAAAGAGAATTTTATTCTTTTTTTTTTTTAGGAAAAACATTGAAAATAAGTTGCAAAATATGAATTTGAAACGATATTAAATGTATCGTATGTAACGTTAAATATTATAAATCTTAATAAAAATTATTCTTCCTTTCCTAATAATAATTTAATAAAACATAAAATATTAAATATGTGCGGTTTTTAGCACTAAATAGCTCTTTCTTTCTTTCTCTTATTACATATTTTTGTAAAGAACATACAAAAAAATTGTATTGTAGATTTATTGCAGATGTATATATTATACACTGAGAAAAATGATCTGGTTGGATTAAATAGTAATTCTGGTGGAAAATGGACGAATCTGAATTTTCTGGTTAAATCTACTAGAATTCTAGTTGAGATAATCAGAATTCTGATTGATATAATTATTCTGGTAAAAATGAGAATTCTAGTATATATATATATATATATAGATTTTACCAGAAATATTGCATCAACCAGAATTCCTGTTATCTCAACTAGAATTCTAATAAATTTAACCAGAAAATTCTGATTCGTCCATTTTCAACCAGAAATTTTTTTCAGTGTACATTCTATTGTCTATATTCTACACCTACTCGTTTCTTTTGTTCTCCACATCTTCTTACTATTATTATTCATTATATTTTTTGTTTCTTACTTTACTTCTAATACGACTGCGTAATGATTCCTCAGATTTCTTCAATTCGTCTATCACGTACTTAGTGTCTTCGACTTCCATCCGCGAATCTCGACTATCGCCATAAGTACTTACGCAGATCGTTCTCGGACGTTCGCTCCTGTCGCTCATTAAACTGTTCTAGAAGAGAGAGAGAGAGAGAGAGAGAGAGCGACGCATTACATGCCGCAAGGAAAGGCATGAAGATTGTTGTCACATAATTCTGTTTCAATTTAACATGCAACGTAAAGACGAAAAAGGAGTTCTTACTTTAGATCCATCCGAACAACAACGTCTACGGGCAGGTCGACGAAAAGCCTTCTTAAGACGAATGCAGCAAATTGCGAATGGGAAAATCAAAAAGAACATTGCGTTCAAGAAGAATTCCGCTTTCCTGCAGACGTTCGTCGTACCATGTCACGTTTTGTGCACTGAACTATATATTTATCTTATTGTACTATTATAACTATAGATATCTTATTGTACCTGCTGCATATTCTAACCGTTCTCTTGCGCGTATCCGGATGCACCGGTGCACCATGCTCATCCATCACCACGCATTTATATTTTAATTCTCGTTCGAAGTACTCAGACATTCCGCTAGTTTTCAACAGAGAATCCAAACCCCAACGACCTACCACCGGTATATACAAGCCGATCGACCATTTTAGAAAACCTGAGAGAAACATGTACTTTGAAATTCGTGCTATTTTATTATAAATATTTAAACAATGAATTAGAAAAAAGGAATTAGGTTCATTAAGAAACATATTCTATCTATAAAATATATAATAAACTAAATATTAATGAATTTTAAATTTATATAATACTGAGGAAAAATAATTGTAAGGATATTATACGTTAAATATGAGCTAGGAAAACTTTGTTAGGAATTAAAAAAAAATAAAGCGCGTGAAAAATAATTTATTACTTAGAAAAAAATTACAAATGGTAAATGAAAATACATCTTCGAGGATCAATAAGTAAGTTCAGAAGCTATTAAGTGAAACGACTATACGATTACTGACCCATGAAAAGCAGGAGCAGTATCAACAAGACAATGAAGAATAGGATGTCTACAATTACTACGAAAATTTTGCGGGAGGCTGCAGGAACAGGACCACGAAATCCAGCGGCGTGATAAAGCTCCGGTGACATCGGTCTGCAGCCAGTGCTGCGCGCGTCGCCTACGCACACACATAAACAGTGCAACATGCAGGAACAATGATCCATTTTCCGTACTTTTATCCTTCTGGTAGCCAGTAGTCCTCCGAGACGATTCAACAATTGCACTAGAAATCATTCAATGTTCGCTCGAATACGCACGATTTTTTTATATATATTTTATACACTTTCTACGACAATAAATGTCGCCTGCAATATTCTGCGATAACTTTATGGAAAGTTAAATCAGTTTTTCCTCTTCTTTGTCAGATTGAAAAAAATTGCTTCAAGTTAAATAAATATAAAATTGGATGTGCATTTGAAAGTCAATATGTTGTTTAAATATTTAAACACACGGAACTTTAAAAATGATTATAGTACATTATTTTTATTGGATCGTTAGATTTACCGGAACAATGAAATTCGTTTATAGGCAGCTCGCCGTAGAGATCCAAGCTTATTGATTGATCCCGTCGAGGTTGAATTAATTTCCTAGGAAACGTAGCGTTCACCCAAGATTCTGGAAGGTTGTTGGGACATTTCGCGATTCTTGATTGATAGAACATCGAAGTCAGTCCCGTATTGGTTATCACTACTGTCACTACTGTGTGATCAAGTGCCTTGCTGTCCACTTGTACTTTGCTGATGCGACCTAAGGATCTAAGATTTACAAATTTTAAAACAATCATGATTGATCGAAAGTTTTGGGATTATATTGGGAAATATTGGGATATCTTTAACATTTTCGTTGGGTATCAATTTGCCTTAATATGTAAAACATCTATGATCTGAGGAATTTGGAAAATTACAGAGTGATAAAAAAGTTTGGCCACAAAGTTTTATAAGTTTAATCAAATTACTATCCAAATAGCAAATTGATATTATATTTGTTTTCATTTTGACATCCAAATAATGATAAATAACTTCAGCTTAATTGCTATCTGGATAGTAACGTACATTTCGAAAAACAAATTCTGAAATATTAGTTACATCTTATTATTAAATATCAAAAAGTCTGCAAAAGATTTTCATCGGTTGATTAACTGAAAGTCGCATGAGAGAATTTATTCACAGAAATGCCATCGTTGATGCGAACCTTGAAACTTGCATTAAAGTTAAAAGTAGCCATTTTAAATGTTAATTATTATTTTTTATATTTAATAAAATATAACTGACACTCCAAAGTTTATTTTTTTTTTAAATATAGGGGAGAGTGGTCTAAATCGGACCTATTTGCAGTTTTTGCTCTCTATGAGGCATAAATAAAGTCCGATCGTAAAATCGAAGGTGCTGTTGGAAAGATCATTTAATTCCCTTCATTTTTGCTTCAGATTATTTTGACGTATCTCTCACTTGTGTTAAACTATAATGGAAAATGTAAAAACGGTTTTTTCGGTCCGATTTAGAACTATTGGTTCCAAATCGGACCATCCCCTGGTTCAAATCGAAAACTCCTATTTTTATGAATTTTTAGATAGAATTTTAAAATATTTTAATGTATTTTTCTTAGTATTGAGTAAAAACGAGCAATTTGACAGTCAAAGATAAACATTTTTTTCGGAAAAAGAAAATACTGACTGTTTATATTATTAGAATTGAAATCAATAAAACTCAACTAATCTGATGAATCATGATATTTTACTGATTTAATTGCTTTACAGATCTAGTCAGCCGATCACCAGTACTACTACCAGGCCTATAAGTTATTCATTGTACTGTCCGATTTGGACACGGGTCCTTTCGAACTTTGGAACAAATTTTACAATAAACCGCAAAAGTGATCACGAAATGCTTGATATTTTTTAATTCTACACTCTTTAATTATCTTAAATCAATTACTTTTCAAATTTTTAACACCTTTTAAATAATGATTTACAAGGATGCTATCACATGTTCGGTGTCTTATAAGGACTTTACGTTATAAATAGTACGCAAATCTGCTTAACCGTATTCATTTAAATTAAAAAACCTATTTAGACCACTCTCCCCTATACGTTACTAATTATTTAATAAAACTACAAAACTTTGCGGTCAAACTTTTTTATCTCTGTACAATGAAGCACTCTTAGATTTTATCATTAAGAAACTTATATCTATTCTATTTATAAAATATCGTTATACGATATCAAAAACTCTAAACATTTGTTAACATTTTAACATTTATATAACATAAATTATCTATCGACATTAAAGGAATTTATTGACGACATTTCTGTTCGTTATATTCCCGTAACGTTAAACTTCTTTCAAAGAAGAGATATCCAGCAACCAACTCTGAGCTATTCGGAGTAATTACAAAATCGGATTACGAAGGAATTAGCACACAAAGTGTAAGCGAACTGGTTAGTTGGTAATCTCTAGTTAGTCGTCTATGGGTAGATAGATATCGTTCCTCTCAAGACTCAACTCACCCTTCTGCGAGCGCGGCATTGTAACCCGCCTCGATTTCGATGTCGATCGCAGACACGTGCGGCGAATAGTACTCCAGAGCGAGGAACTCGTGACTTCCGCTTCCGTTCGCGCTGTACTTGATGGGCTCGCTTGGCACGGATGCGAAATTGCTCAAGAAGTAGCAACCAGGTCGCCCGGCCGCGCGAGCTTCCTGTCGACATGTGACACTAGATCGAACAACGGCCCGACCTTCGACAGCCGGTTGGCGGAAATGTTCGCGAGTATGCTAGGTGGTTTCCGGCATATGTTCGTGACGCGCGACCGTCGTCTGCTTTCGCCGATAAACCTCGCGATGACGTACAGTTTTGACTCAGTTCTGGAGTTTGACAAGCTTGAAACCTAATCGATAGATCTTATCCTTTCCCGGTAAAAGCCTAGTTTAATCTTTTATTTATGATCTTTAATATTTTGATATTAATATAATCTCTCAAACTTTCGTTAAAATTGTGAAATCTAATCGATAGATCTTGCTCTTTTCTAATAAAAGTATCGCTGTTTATAATCTTTAATATTTTAATATTCACGAAAAGAACGATTTTGCTAAAATATTTAAAAATTTAAATACGAATCTGAAAATAATTTTGTTGTACTATTAAAATATATAATTATGTAGAAAATATGATAAGCGATGCTGCAAAAAATTTCTAGTAATGAGTTTAAGCGTCCTACATAATTATTTTGACGGTCCAACAAAATTATTTTTAGATCTCTATCTAGCTAAATTTTTAAATGCTTCAGCAAAACCATTCTTTCCGTATTTCGCAAACTCTTGCTAAAATTGTAGTTTTTTCAGTTTAAAAACCCAATATAGCGAAGTGTTAAATTATTCATAAACTCTTCAAAGCAGAAACTACTTAAGATTGATTAAAAAACCTAAAGCTATAAAAAATATTGGATGAGAGAATCCTAAATCTGCATGTTGTAAAACTCATACAACGTACAATGCATCGTTTCACAATAGAATTCAAGAGAAAAACGTGAATTCGGAATACAATGATTCGAAACGTAACAACGGGCATTCGTAGCGACAGTCGCTGCGGACATTTATGAACGCGAGACAGATTCGATATTTCGCCCAAACGAGACGGCTCGAATTCCTCGTCTCGCGTATCACAGAGCCGACATACAAAAATCCACGTTGTCCCTCTACCGACAACCGATTTGTATGCGACTGTCCGTTCCCGTCGCTGGGACAAATCTCCCTTCGCAACGTTTTATACGGGTATAAGTATTAAATTCGTGCGCGATAAATCATGTTACACGGTTAGCACCGCACTTAAAGCGTCTCGCGCTCGCTCACACGAAGCTCAACGCGACGGTCGCGGATAGCTCGAGAACAGGCCATTTTCAGCGTTGTTTCATTTATTGCACCTGTCATACGTACCGCGTCGCGCCTACGGTAGGCCAGAGGCTGATTTTTCAAACAGGTTCCTCTGACACGTTCGCACCGGTCCGGTTGCCTCGCGAACGCCGCGAATCCCACGCCCGCTTTATCGCACTCGTTTCCACTCTCGTTGATGCTACTCGCCGGTATCACGAGATATTCGCCCGACTCGCCTACGTTGAACATCAAAACATCATTTGATAAAGTATCTTACATTGAATGTATAATTACTCAAGCTTCTTGACTTGACCATTTTGCAAAGTCAACTAATTAGTAACGTAACAAGATTAAGTTACAAAAAACTGCACAGAAAGGACGATTTTGTTAAAGTATATAAAAATTTAGCTATATCTGAAAATAATTTTGTTTAAACCATCAAAATAATTATATAGGACGTTCAAATTAGTTGTTAGAATATTAAAACTTTTTGCAGTTTTGTCATCAATGCTTAAGCGTTCATAATTATTTTGATGGTCCAACAAAATTATTCTCAGATCTACATTTAGTAAATTTTTAGATGCTTTAATAAAATCGTTCTTTCTGTGTAAGTATTATTTTGCAAATATTAAAATTCTAAAATGCTTACGGCAAATTTTATTATATTACATTATTTATTATATTTATTATGTTATTATAATTATTAAATTTTATTAAACTGACATAATAATTTGAATTGAAATTTTCCTACACATTATGATACACGTTCTATAACTTCATATTTTTCAATATTTGATTCGCTGTTTGAAAATCTCAATTATAAATTTTTAATAAGAAAAATTAATTAAAATTCAAATGAAATTGTAACACTTTACATTTTTGGCTTAAATTAAATGCATTTGATCTTTTTAATTACGAATAAAAAATGTGAAATTACTCTTTTAGATATTTAGACATACCTATAATTATTTGTTCTCCGTTTTGTACAATAATTTTCGAAAATACATATAAATTCTCATGTGCAATTTTAAGAGGAAGCGTTGAAATATTTCGGGTTCGATACCTTCGGCAGAATATTCAGAGCTTTTTGATGTCACCGACGACGGTACCAAAAGACGATCACGAACGACATCCAAATTAGGAATTTCGTCCTCCTTTCGTCCTAGCATTTTCACTTCCTTGTAGGCGAAAGCGATCGTATCTTGGCTGTCTCTATGGTGCCTGTTGAACGTGCCCAATCTGATGGCATAAACGACCTGTCTAGCGTGAAGTTTATCGGGCCGTTTCGAACATACTCGAGCGCATTTAAATTCTCTCTCCCCCC